AATATACATGACACGCGGAAATTCAAAATTCGCGATACTTTTTGAACAGACCTCGTATACAAAACCAGCGTAGAACACTAATGATTTGCACGACTGCATGACAATCGCTGCAAATGGAATAAGTCAACTGCTGACAGTTTTTGCGCAACTCAGAAGTCGAAGTCTATTTTTTATTACGAGGTTCAAATTTAAAATTGTATGTAAATACGTACCTACATGTACTTTTATTCTAATGGGAGAATAAAGCTATTTGCGAATCTTTTTCTGGTTTTCTTACAAATCCTGTTGTACTCACCGCTGCGATTCCCTATTGCATATAATTAATACCTTCCTACCAAAGCTTGCTACTTAATTCAGAAATACTCTATAAAAATATGCATGGTAATAGGTAAATTGTTGGAGCCCGCAAGCTATTCCTTATTGTTTGTATTAGCAAAAAAGGGGTGCATGCAAATGGTTGAAGCTTTTCACAGAAGCACTCTACCCATTTCTTGGAAAGCAGTGTATTAAAGAGAACCACGATATTTTGTATATTTATTATTATTTTTTTATTAGATTATTCTCAAGGAAGGGAAATCTTCAAAAGACCCCTGAAAGAAGGTAGTGTCGGATTTTTACCGACTAAAACCCCTCCTCGAGTGGGGAGATAAATCCCGAGGGTTACTCATCCCCGGGAAAGGAATGGAGGGTTGGGATTTGGGAGAGGAATGAGAAGGGAAAGGCGATGAGTTTTGAGATGAGACCTTCGTGCTAAACTCGGTCGAACGCTTGTTGGATTCCAAGAAGAAGCATGGAGGTGTGACGCCGCGTAATAAGGTTGTCGGAAATGTATTCAGATACGCGAAGAAGTTGGTGGCCGGTGCCGTGATGCCTGCGGAAACCGTGTTGATGATCGGGGAGAAGGTTGTTTTGCTCCACGCGGTCTAAGAGCCGATCGAGAAGGATTGATTCAACTACTTTGCACAACAACTGAGCAGGCTGATGGGCCTGTAGCTTGAGAGAGAGCTAAGGGGCTTTCCTTTTTTGGGGAGACAGATGATAGTGGCTTCTTTCCAGACAAAAGGGAAGTAGTAGAGCGGCATGATGGCGTTTGTGATGTTGCACAGTGCGGTTATGTGCTTTGGCGGCAAGACCTTGAGGACTCCGTTTTGAATTCCATCAGCGCCAGGGGCTTTCCTCTTTTTCACAGAACGGATAGTAACGGAGATTTCATGGGGTGTAGTCTGAAGTCAGAATTTAGGGGAACGAGGTTCTGGGAGACAGCTTTGGTACGCTCGTGAAATTCAGCATGGTCCGCTGGACTAGGTAGTGGAGAGCAGTGGAGACATAATGAGTCTGCGAAGATTGCATAGAGCCGTTCTGTTTCAGTGGCGGAAGATGGGGAGCTCTGTTACGAAGAGAACGGATCACTTTCCAAGTGCTTCGGGGGTGTGTTTCTGCCTGAGCGATATAACCATCGAAGGATGCGCTGCGGATTTCAGTGAGACGAGTTTTTGGTTCTCGTTGAAGGGCGTTTAATTCTTCACGGTGGACGGGGATGCGGTGTCTATTCCACAGACGTCGAGCCTTGTTTTTCCTCCTTAGGAGGGGAGGGTTCTGTCTTTGGTGGGCGTGGGGCGGGAGGTAGTAGATAGCTCGATAGCGCTCGTTTGAAAGGAGATTCACAGCTTCGTCAAGTACCGCTATTTTGCGAATTGGAGTGCACTTGAATGAAGATGTTGCGAGGGTGTAACGGAGGTGTAGCCAATCTAGTGACGTGATTTAGTTTGGGGGGTTGTTGATTGGGTGGCTGACTTCAATCAGGGCTGGAAGGTGGTCCGAACTTAGTGCGTCAATGACGATAGGGTCGGTGGAAAGTGTAACACTTTTTGTGTCAAAATTGTCAAAGATGTCAGGGAATTGATTGTGGGGGGGCGGGGAGGAACGTGGGGACAGAGGGTGCGTCAACTATGAGGTTGAAATCAAGAATTTTGGCAAGAAGGGAGGTGACTTTACTATTGGTTTGTCGACAACCCCAAGAGACGTGTTTAGCGCTAAAATCGCTAGCGACGATAATTGGAACGCTTGAGAGTAGTAGAAGGGAGTTCAGAAAGGTCTCTGTCCGAATGGGGGGAGTAGAAAGAGATAATCCTAAGATGACCAGAAGTTAACGAAACTTCGATGCCGACTGTTTCTAACGAGTTTGTGGCCAAAGAGATAGGCCTGTGATTTAAAGAAGTCCTAACAAGGCACTGCGGTTTCCACGGTCCCTTCTGCAGGATGACAAGTTTGGGACGAAAAGTTTAATTGAAGGAGTGGCATCTTTCTTGTCCTTTGCCTTACATTCGGCAGTGACAACTACACGTGTATTTGTATCCTTACCACCGGTTGAGCTACAAAGTGAGATAGAGGCCCGTTAATAATTATTTGTTAGTTGTTCAATGCTCAAAGGCGTAAAATTACTGATTGTTTAACGGATAAATATAGACATTAGATCAGCTAGTAATAACAGCAACAGTGTTGTATTTCTTTTTTTATTTTTTTGTTCATGTATTGTTTGCAATTTGTTAGACTATATTAATAAGATGTTTGTTAATTTTATTTATTTAAACAGTTATTTTATGCAAGTAATTTATTTAATACAATAAGGAATACCTATACGAGTTTATTTATTTTGACGAATTCTTTTTTATCTCACATTGAATTTTCGTCACTCCGTTCTATGTTTTATTTGCACTATTTATATTACTTGCGTACACAGCGACTGACTCCATTTACTTACGAGGGTGGATTGATAAGTTTCCGGCCTAACCAAGAGATGACGCCACTAGGCCTACCTTGAGGTGACATTCTATAGTACCATCCTTGGATAGCTTGTAGCTATAGTTTCAGCCCGATCTCCTTGCTAGTGTAGGTTTGACAGCACGCTGAACAAGACGCCTCTGTGGTTTTCGTAAAAATGGAAAAGCAGGAAAATCGTGCTGTCATCAAATACTTTTATTTGAAGGGGTTAACGCCGAAGGAAATTAAAAAAGAGATGGACTCAACACTGGGGACATCCTCCCCGTCATATTCAACCGTTAAGCAGTGGGATTCCGAGTTTAAAAAGGGTCGTGTGAGCACCTCTGATGGGCCTCGCTCAGGACGCCCCGTTGAGGTCACAACTCCAGATATGATCGAAAAAATTCATCAAATAGTGCTGGGAGACCGCAGATTGAAAGTGCGTGAGATAGCTGAGACCTGTAAGATGTCATATGAACGTGTGCAACATATTTTGCACCAACATTTGCATATGGAAAAGCTCTGTGCAAGATGGGTGCCGCGTTTGCTAACAGTCGACCAAAAATTGATTCGAAAAAACATTTCTACCGCAAATTTGTCATTGTATAAGCGTAATCCAAGCGAATTTTTGCGTCGATTCTTAACCGTTGACGAAACGTGGGTCCACCACTACACTCCTGAAACCAAAGAACAGTCTAAACAGTGGATTGGACCAGGGGAACCAACTCCAAAGAAGGCAAAAACAATTTTTTCGGCGAACAAGGTTATGGCTACTGTTTTTTGGGATGCAAGAGGTATTATATACATTGATTACCTTGCAAAGGGTAATACTATCACTGGTCAATACTACGCAGACTTATTGCAACGTTTGAGCCACGAGGTGAAAATTAAACGACCTCATCTGGCGAAGAAAAAAATCTTGTTTCATCACGATAACGCACCAGCGCACACGTCAATCGTTGCGACGGCTAAAATCAACGATCTAAAGTTTGAATTGATGCCGCACCCTCCTTACTCTCCAGACCTAGCCCCGAGTGACTATTTTCTGTTCCCTAATCTCAAAAAATGGCTTGGCGGTAAGAGATTTGCGGACAATGAAGAAGTAATCGAAGCTGTAAATGGTTATTTTGAGGAGCTTGACGAATCAGTCTATAGAGATGGCATTAATAGACTGGAACACCGCTATGAGAAATGTATCAGCCTTGGAGGAGATTATGTTGAGAAATAAAAAAAAAATTTTTAAAAACCTTGTTTTTCTTGGTCAGGCCGGAAACTTATCAATCCACCCTCGTATATCCCTTTTAGCTGGCCGACTGACAGTCTACCAGTCATCTATTTATATTATTATGGAAGGTCCTCAAGTTTTTTCAGAACATAATTCTCGATCCACGTCGTAATTCTTTTAGACTGCACGCTTGTATGTGCCAGGTCCGTTCGTTTGAGCGTTTTACATAGCTGCTATGAGCTCCAGCAGCGCTTATGAAAGGTGCTGTGTATCGGTACTAGCCCATGGAGTCCATCTGCTCCATCCGTAATAGTTATATATCTTGTCATATAGGCAACCGAACATGAACTGACACGTGTAGGCAATCCAACATACATAGTGATAAAAAAGACCAGATTTTCTAGGCGTCACCTTATGGAACTTTCTAGAAGTCCAGCTCTTATAAATAGTTGCCGCGAAATCAAACAGCTAGTCTGTACGAGTTCAAGTTCCAAGGCGATAAAAAGCGAAGTAAAAATAACGAAGAAGTGGCAAAAGAAAAAGTTCGGCTTCACATTATGAATTGTTGTGGTTTTCTTAAAGAATTGTATGTGATTCCTTATTTAATTTAGTTTATACCCTCCAAAACCCCGCACTTATCTTTGTTACATCCTGCATTGTTCATTTTTCCGTTTTCTGAGGACTGTCCAACAGTCAGTTTTATATATTTTTTAGTAATAGGTAACCTCAAATGACTCATATAACACTTGTTTTCAAGCTTATTATTTATCGAAGCATTCAAACTGCAAATCGTTGGTATAAAATAGGAGGTATGCGCATGTACATATGGTGGTAACTACTATCAACTAAAACGGTCACAACCAAGCGATCGAGAGTATAATGTGCTTTTTTCTCTCTACCTACGATTTTGCCAGCGCGCATCCAAGACATTGGAAGGGCACATCGCTAGAGAAAGCAAAGGAATAATGCAAGTATGATTTCTGACTAATCTGTTTATTTAAATTATTTAATTATTAAAATTCATTAATTGAATATCAATCAATTGTTGATTCAAATATACATTGAAACTTCTTTAACAACATGAACACTGCTATTTTGTTAGAGCAATTCCGAAAACCATTAGTCAATTAACTAGCAATTATCACCTTAAAACTGAATTACAACCATCTTTATCTTCAAATGACTCATTGTCAGTCAACTGAATATTCTTCTTGTTTCTGAAAATAATAAAGCGAACGTCAATTACATTAAAAGCCTTTAAATGTAATTGCAATTAATTTACTTACAATTTTTGTTTTTGCAAGTCCGCTACAGTTTCTAAAAGCTCTTTGCCCATTGTTTCTGGCAATGGAGCTATAAAAACAATTGTTAAAAGACCTAAAGCGGCTAATACAATAACTGTCAAAGATTCGAATACGCTTTGAAGCGTCAACAGAAATGGAGCAACCATTGAACCGATTTTTGAGAACATTATAGTACCTCCACTTCCAGCATTTCTTAATGTAGTTGGATAGAGTTCGCCAGTAAACAAGAAGAAGGCCGGCAAGGACATCTGCAATAGTATATTATTACAATATTTCTCGAATTAGTGCCACTTAACAAATCATATTAAACTATTAGTCGCCAATTAACGAAGCCGTCTGAAATTAAAATACTGATTTTCAACTTACTAGATATACAGGGCCAAAAGATAAGTATCCTTAGATTTGCAGGTAATATAGCAGTATTAGCATCTAGCAAGGAAGAGTTAGAGATAGCTTTAAATACAATGGAAGCGGTACTGATAAAACAGTAGGTATTGTATGAAAATAAATAAAGTTAAAACAAAAATACTGGTATTCAAGGGAAGAAAAAGTAGGGAAAGAGCGAATATAAAGATAGGAGACGAAATATTGGAAGAAGCGGCTAATTTTCAGTATCTAGGAAGTCGGATAAGTCAGGCAGGAACGAGTAGTAGGGATAAAAAGCAGAGGATAGAGCAGGATCGAGACGCCTTCAATAAAAAAAATCACTTCTATGTTCGGAACGGTTCATTTAGAAATTCGAAAAAGGTTGTTAAAGGTGTATGTTTGGAACGCGACGCTGTACGGGTGCGAAACATGGATGGTGGGCACTGAGGGAAACAAGTTAGTAGCGTTCGAAATGTGGTGTTATCGCCGAATGATGAGGATACCGTGGAGATGGGTCTTATTACGAATGTATCTACTTGCAGACATACAAACCACTTTAATAAATACGATTAATAAATACTACCGTTAGAATTAAAAGTCTACATAATACGCTATTTAAAATTTGGATTTTGAAATGTGCCACTAATAGATTCAAATAAAAATTTAAACTAACAAAATCAAAAAATTAAAGTTAAAAGATGGAAACGCGATCTAGGTAAAAGGAGTTGCGACAGAAGACATGCCTCCAACTGTAACTATTTATCAGACTAGCCGTGGTCCCTTGAACAGTAACTTTGTCGGTAGCGCATAGCATTTGAAACTATTCCCATCATAACTTAACCTAAGCCCTCGATTCTTTAACGTATGTGTATTCATATGCAACCAACTATACATTTCCTTCTTTGCCCCAGTGCCAGCGGCGGTCCGAAGGGGGCGGTCGTAGAGGTCATGAACCCCCAAAATCATACACGTAATATTATCAAACCTAAAAGTAAACAATTTACGAAAATTTCAAATAAATTATTAACTTCCTGATTTTAAAGTGGAAGGGGGATTTTAACGAAAATATTGACTTAAGAGTTCTTAAGTTATGTTGTTTCTTCAATCGATGTCTGGGACGGCGATCTCCACAGAATGTAAAGACTGCTCAAAACTCTGGCAATCCTTCTTATAAGCGCTAAAACGTCAGATAGATGATTTTTCACGTTAACGCGCATAAAAACTTGGATGAGAGCAAGCATGTTAAAGAGAGGCTGGCAAGTTCAACTCTTCTAAATATTCATCCAGAGATGCCCTCAGACTTCTCGAATATTATCACCTGATTTGCCAATAAGAATAGAAGACATCTTTTTGTTTCGTGTTTAATTAATAATGTTGTATTTAATTTTTCATAACTCTTGTGTAATAAATTCTCGTTTCCTACTAACAACAACAACAACCTAGTGCTAATATGACCCACCCTCCGCAGGTCAATGCTTAATAAAGATAGGCAAAATTTTACAAAATATTTAAATCGATCGGTTTTATGACATTTTACGCATCTTTTATAGGTTATCTACAAATTTTAACCGAAAAGTGAAGTTTGCGTCTGTTTTGTCCTCGACCAACTCAGCGATGAAACACACAAACATTTTCATATATGATTTGTTTGGGTGATTTTTAACATTTTTTTTTTATTTACTTTTAACAGCCAATTTTCCTTATTTTAACTTTAAATCTCATCAGCACGTCATAGGCAGCCCCGATAAAGCTCCAAATATACATATTTATACACTATGATCTCTGATCAGTACTTCGCAAAAATTAATGGAGAAGAAAGTTCATGAAAGAGAAATAGAATGAGCCATATCGTACCTCCTAGCGTTATATACATATACATAAGGGGAGTGACTTACGAAAAACCCCAACAGCTCCGGTAATGGTAACCAGGATTACTTGGAGTACTTAATTGTAAAACGTGGCGTCGCTGCCTACTGTAGTCAAGTTCCCTACGCGAACACGAATAAGGAGGGAATGCACTGCCGGTTATTTTTAGCTATACAATTTATAAAAGCAACGGATGTACATCCTGGTAGGTATGTTGTGTCGAACACGGTCATAGGTATAGAGTATTTCGATAATGGATAAAGCGAGACGCAGTGAATTCTCCCTTAAAATCCTCCTCACACGCAGAATCCTTCTTTGCCGTGCAATAACTCAGATACTTAAACTACGATTATCGTCTATTAATCGCATGTCTATTTCGTCAGTACTGACCTGTCGTCTATTCTGACCTTCACCCGCCGGTACATCACAACTTGTTTGATGTGCCAGAACATCCTCATTGCACCGTCAATATCTGAACACCATGTCCGTATATTCTACTTACCTACACATTGCTATTGCTTAATATTTTCAAAATAATCTTATTCTTGTATTTTATGGTAATAGCAGTAACTTTGTTAATCGAACGGTAACTACGGAGTGCAACTGGCCTGTCTATCGAAAGGCGATAAGATGACGCAGTCGCCAACCTGACGTGTGTTCTCACTCATTAACTGAGATACCTTTTATGCGTGACTTTTACATCCCCTACTTTGCCGCGCTATCACCAGATGCACTCTACAGTGCCTCCAGATGTTACCTTTCAAATATCGCGGAATACTGATCGGACGTAGTGTATAATAGTAGCAGGAAATGCCCACTAGATGGCGATATAATAACAATACTTGAATATCTCATTGTTTTAAATCCATCCAGTTATTTGCATGTCACGAAGGAATAAAAAATCCCACCTCCATATATGCATACCCAGGTACGTATGAAAATCATAACCTCTTTGCTGCCGTGTAGTCAGATAAAAACTTAGAAATATAAACAATTTTTAATGAAGCAGTGCGAAACGTGTAATACGAAAATGCACTCGATTGGATCGAAATCAGGTGAGGTAAGAGGATGGATGTTTACGAACTTTTATCTCAGAAGTAGTTCTTAAAATTTGAGATTTACTCTGGATTTACGTGTTTAATTCAGCGATGATCGAATTACGAAAGTGAAGAAGCTCAAGGAACAGAAAAATGGCACCTGTACAAGAAGAAATCTATCGCTGGGAATAGTTGAAAAGATCGTGTTACTTTCAAACTTCATTTCATTCTCCCTCTCGCCTGAGATAAAGTGCACCTGCAATATTGCAAAGGAAAATTTTCCAAACGGAATCGCCGATTTAAATGCGGATTCGTGATACCGATATAATGAACCGTGAAATCGGTAGAAAGCAGCTTTTAGTTTTTCTAATTTCCTCAAGAGCTACGCAAAATCACATTTAAACCAATTTGAAGGCAATCCAATACAAAAGTCAAAATAGAAATGAGACTGTACAAATTTCTTACCGATATGCCAGTGAAAACTAGTGCTGATAAAATTAATCTTGGCCAATCGGCAGTATATTCTCCTTTAGGAAAGAATGCTATGGCAGCTGTTGATACTGTTGTGAGGATATTTGCGAATATAATGGTTTTCTTTCTTCCGGTTTTTCTAATTATAAAAATACACATTATCGTACCAGGTACGGCCAAAGCACCACTAGCAATCACAGAAAGATATATGTTTTTTCCAACGCTACTCATGTATTGCGAAAGAGCGAAGAAAATTACACCAGTTAGGAACCTGAAATATGGTAGATAAATAATTTTTCTATAACAAAAATCAAACTAATTATAGGAGTGCTTTTTCTCTTTTTTCTCTTACCATGATAAACTTAAAAATATTGTCCTTTTCCTTAATTCAGGAGTAACCAACAGTTGAGAAAAGTTTGGTTTTTCGAAAACTTGGGCTATAAAGTAATTCTCCTCGTCTTTTCGAAATTCAACAGGTGACTTTTTATTGTTCATTCTTGCAGCTGCCTTTAAAATTTTTAAGGCTTCCATTTTTTTCCCAACAGCCAATAACCACCTTGGAGATTCTGAGAGAAGCCTGTTAGAAAAACAGTCTATCCAATTACTTATTGAGAATTCATTCACATCATTTAAGTTTGATCTATTAATCAACCCGAGAATGTATCCCACTTTTCGCCAAAAGTTAAATAATTCTTTTTTTTAACTATTTCATTTTGATAACATTAGTAAATTAATGAAATTGAATAAAACCTTGTATGAATATTGAAAATCTTTCTTAATTTTTTATTCTGTCTTAAGGTAATTCTGACACTTACCATATGTACGAAATGAAGAGACAACTAAGAACGGATAAAACTAAATTAAGTTTTCTCCAATCATTTAAATAATAGGCCAAAAAAGTCATGATGAGATTTCCAAACACATAGGGTGTCTGGTACAAGATAGGCACAATTGTTCGATAAGTTCCGCTAACTGATTCCATGCACATGACGAAAGATGAAATCAAGGTACCACCATTGCCAAGGGCCAAAAAGAATCGAACAAAAACAAATATCCAAAATGATGAAACTAAAGACGAAATAATCCCGCACACGGCTTGCAGTATTATAGCCACAATAAGAGAGGATTTCCTACCATATCTGTCAGCTGCTACGCCAAAAATGACGCTACCTTTAAGTACATAGTCTAAAAATCGGGAAATTAAAGTAACAATTTAAATTTTTTACCCAAGAGAACACCAAACATAAAGGTAATTTGGGTAACTTCAACCAGTCTTGCACTTTGACAAACGAGGTTCCATTCCATTATAATGGTTGACTTCATTGTACTTCTATCATATTCATAACCCCAGTCGCAGGGTATCTTCGAGGCTGTTTCGTTTAAGGCGCTTATATTTCTTAAATAGCATGAGTTGGGCTGTAAAAATTATTGCTAAATATATTCCAATTTCTTCCTCTAGGTTAAGTTATAATAAATAATCAGAGCCAATGGGGTGAAAGTTTTTTATTTATTGATACCACACCAACATTTCGCCTCTAGGTATAGAGGATTCATCAAAGGCAGGTTTGCAGGTTAGCTAAGGACATACCATGACATAAGTGATTTTTACATAACTTTTGCTGTATAAATTACTGCCTTTGAAGAAGTCGCCATACCTAGAGGCGATACGTTGTTGTGGTATCAATAACCAAAAACTTTCACCCTATTGGCTCTGATTCTTTATTTATTATTGCTAAATGCTACAGAAGCAATGGCAGATGGACAACATTATGATTATGACTATAACAGGATTATGTTACCCATTTCGAACTTTTAACAAAAATGTTAGTTTATCGAGATACCTCAAAAAGTAGGTAACAATATAACTCAATACATTAATGAATTAATTTTTGAATTATATAAGAATAAAGGCTTTCACAGCCGGAATCTATAGTAGAATAAAGATTCGGGCTATAGTCCAGTCGCTGTCGAGACTTCGAGATATAATCTACGTTCAGGTTGTCAACGCAGCACTGCCACTGAAGATGTCAGCCGCAGTAGCCGACGAAACGTCTGGACAGAATAGTTCACTAGGACCTCGGCCCTATAGCCCGAATCTTTATTCTACTAATTTTTGAATTATTTTACCTACTATAGATAACCGCAAATTATCATTATCATCACAGAGTCGTCCTAAGACTGGTTCGATACTCATTTCCACCCTTTCCTATCCCGAACTAATGTTCACATTTCCTTAAAACTGCCAACCTATATCGCCTACATCATATTGACTTCCACAGCATCCTCTGTTCATTCTACTACTCCTTCTATTACCTTCTCATTCTAACCTTCTCTAAGCACTGAGATATCTCATTTCTACTTTTATAAGATTGCGTGTGGACAAATTGCGACATGAATTTAACGGCTCCTAATTGTATGCCAACAAGTAAATAAGGTGAAACTTATATTTACTGTACTTCACTGTAATGAAAACGCTATAACCTACAATTCTCGGACGTAGTTTATATCATGTTTCATAAAAACAATGTGAACATTGAAATAATATTTTGATAACTGTTATTTATGATCATCACAAGATCGTCAGTCCCAAGACTGGTTGGACAGAGCACCTCCACTTTTTCCTATCCTGAGCTAACAACATTTATATTTAAAAGCTATTGCATTATTATAAGTGCACGTAGAACATTTTCTATTAGTTATTCTATATCAGTACTACGATTATCATTTACATTGCCGAAGTTGTAAAGCTAAGCAATCGCTATTCTGTATTAAGAGTGACGAGCTCAGTATCTACTTTTGCTAACATCAGACAGTAGGTATTGATCATATTGCTTCCTTACCTACTGATGTTACATTTACATGTAAAGCACAAAAAAAGGGTAGTATGTCTAAAATATTCTTTACAAAAATGATACAAATCAATAAAAATCCATTTTGATAGTAATAACCCATAGAAAAGTGAATCACCATAATCAGTCAAAATTTGCTAGTTGTAGCGTGTCCTCCACGGATACATACCATTATTTGAAAGTAAATTTAAATATTTTAAGACATTAAATAGCACTGATTATCGATATATGCAACAGCAGTTACTACAATTAAAATAAACTAAGACGTTAGTGGATTTTTATTGTTTCGTTTGTTCAATTGGTCTCTAATGATGATAAAATCGAAGAGTTGAAGTGTATAGAACTGCATTTTTAGTAACGGGGTAATGCATTAGTGAATTATTTTTTTTTAATTAACTTTGCCCACTGCAGATCGCCTCAAATTAATGTAGGTAAATTGTTGCTCTGTAGCCCATAATGTAAAATCAGGGCTCAAAATGTAACATGCTTGTGTTATCGGTGGACAGTAAAAAGTCATTAGGAGATGCATAATTTTTTGATCGCTGAGAATCAATCAACAAAACTTTGATATCACATGAAACCATATATATATATATGAAAACGGTAGAACTTTGATGGATCTTTTCTCCTTTAAACTTAATGTTTGTAGTTGATCATTATCCTGAATTTTTAATTTAAAATATTTAGATTTGAACAAGTAGGTTTATAATTATTTATTATTAGANTTAAACAGCGCTGATTATATATATTCAACAGCAGTTACTACTATTAAAATAAACTAAGACGTTAGTGGATTTTTATTGTTTCGTTTGTTGAATTGGTCTCTAATGATGATAAAATTGAAGCGTTGAAGTGTATAAAACTGCATTTTTAATAATGGGATAATGCATTGGTGAATTAATTTTTTTTTTAATTAATTTTGCCTACTGTAGATAACCTCAAACTAATGGGGATAAATTGTTGCTGCTGTAACCCCTCATGTAAAATCAGGGTTCAAAATGTAACATGCTTGTGTTATCGGTGGACAGTAAAAAGTCATTACGAGATGCATAATTTTTTGATCGATGAGAATCAATCAACAGAAGTTTGATATCACATGAAACCGATGTTCTATGAAAACGGTAGAAGTTTTATAGACCTTTTCCCCTCTTAACCTAACGTTTATAGTTGATCATTATCCTGAATTTCCAGACATTAATAAACAATATTTAGATTTGAACAAGCAGGTTTTTTATTATTTATAATTAGAATATTACAAGGTTTATCATCATCATCATGAGGTGATCAGTCGTAAGACTAGTTGGACACTCACCTCCACTCTTTTCTATCCTTAGCCCCACCGTCCATGTTTCGCACCCGTACAGCACCGCGCTCCAAACATACACCTTTAACAATCTTTTTCAAAATTCTAAATTAACCGTTCGCGGCCATAGAAGTGACTTCTTTTAATTGAAGGTAAAAGTAAGTACCAAAAATTTAAAAGAACTGCAATTATTTCACTTTTTAAGTATAACATAAATATTCACTGAACTAGCAGTTTTTATGTTATAGTCGAAAACCCAAAAAACTGACTTTACTCCTACATTTATTAGCATCCTTCCATTATCATATTTAGGGACCAATTCAACATGTGGAACAATAAAATGTCAATATCGTCCTAACTGAGTAATTCTTTAATTCTTGTACAAATATAAAATTCCCCCTTTTACACAGTCTTCAAGAGGAGCTCATTGAAAACATGAATTTTTAGAATGATTATTTCGCCATCGAATTTCTAGTTTTCTTTTTTATCTAGATTAGTTTTATCCTTAAAATGTTATTTTTCAAAAATTTATTCCTTTAGGAAATATTTCACCAAACCTCTTTTGCCCTTTGTACCTTCAACAAATTGTAAACATGTAAATTAGCATGTTCGTACTTGTGCGATAAGTTTCCAATCTTTACCCTCTTGTTCGGTCGGGACTTTGCATGTAAAATCGAATGGGGGAGCTATGAAAACTATTCCCAATTGAAACCATGCCATTGGCAGTTTAAGCAGGGACATCAAAAGGGATATCTTAAATTGCCATCTTCCGAAATCTCCCACAGTCTCCTGGACAAAATCCCGGCGAGATGCCTGCTGGATTTCCAATTTCAAGTTTCCATCTGCAATAAAGTTTTATTTAAAGAGATCATTATTTGCTTTATTTCCCCTTTAATACTTTCTAACTAATCAATGTTATCTAACTGTCATAAGGCTCAATTCAAGAAATTTAAACTAACGTGACTTTATTAAACTGAGAATGAACATATCAAGTACATATAGCTCACTGATAGATTTAGGCATATTTTTAGTTTTAAGTTTGCATGTTAAATTGTTCCTTTATGGTCGAATTAGGACTAGGGATAGACATTTGTCCTACAAACGTAAGTATAACTGCAAGGGATAATTGTTTGCTTTTGTAAGCTTTCGCACAATTACTAACAAGGACGCCTGGGGTTGTTACTAGATAACAAGGACGATAAATAATAACAAGGTACGAAGCTAAGATAGAAAGAATATTTTAGCTTTGGCCTCTTTAAGTATTTTGGATTTTAGGAAGATTTAGCTTTGAATTCATTCTTCGTGTACCAATATCGCCTTTTTTTTTCGTTATTCGAAGACAATTCAAAGGACTAGGTGTCTGTTCTTGCTTCTGATTCAGCTGTTCCGACATGTATATGTTAGGCCCGAAGACCGAAAACGCTCAGTGGCCGGAAAAAACTGCCACATCGCGTTCTGACTGCCTTCGAACGCACAGAACGCGTTTCGCCTGTCTTTAAACGCTCGCAACGCGTTCTGGTAACTGTTAAACAGCCGGAACGCGTTTTGTCAATTGTTGAACGCTCACAACCCGTTCTTAATGTTCGACTTGTATTATTTGCCGCTTTGTACCTGCATACAATGAGATTTATATTGTACTTATAAAACAAATGAATTTCAATCCATTTTTCAGTTTATAGGAAACAATACAATTATTGAGAACTGTAATTGGATACCAAAGATGGGTTCGGTTTTTCTCTCCGAATCATTTCAACAATATTAAATTTCTTATAATTGTTTTTCAGTTCTACTGAACACTTATATTGTCGAGACTCCTGATTTTTGCGCACATTTTGAGCATATCAACTTCTCGTACAAGCAATTCGTACCTTTCCTCAGACAGTAACATAGATCTATCGTCACAACTATTAATAATTGGTTTTACTTTATCATAAAAAAATTCTGTCGCTGATTTATCAGACATTTTAATGAAAGTGTAACTTTTCAAACGACTTTAGTAAGTTGTTTAGTCAATGACAGGCTGATCTTCTCGCTACACTGACGAGAACTGTACTGATTTTTCATGAAGTCAAGTTAGTTATTATATACTCAAACTACTAAGTGTTCAGTGTAACTTTATTCCTAGAACTGAAAAACAATTATAAGAAATTTAATATGGTTAAAATGATTCGGCGAGAAAAACCGAAACCATCTTTGGTATCCAATTACAGTTGTCAATAATTGAATTGTTTCCTATAAACTGAAAAATGGATTGAAATTCATTTGTTTTATAAGTACAATATAAATCTCATTGTATGCAGTAGAAAGCGGCAAATAATACAAGTCGAACATTAAGAACGCATTGTGAGCGTTCAAAAATTGACAAAACGCGTTCCGGCTGTTTAACAGTTACCAGAACGCGTTGCGAGCGTTTAAAAACAGCCAAAACGCGTTCTGTGCGTTCGAAGGCAGCCAGAACGCGATGTGGCCGTTTTTTCCGGCCCCTGAGCGTTTTCGGTCTTCGGGCCTAACATATATAATAATTGGTCGTGTAGTCCTCCTCGATTTAGCACTCCTTCCGAACTTTTTTCGTAACTCATAGTTCACAAAAAAGTGTAGACAAGCCTGGACTAAAGCAGTGCCAATAGATAGAGAGAGTAGCGCAGTCGTTTGGTTCGCCGAATGCTAACTTAGCGGCCATCTTTACTCCAATTGCCAAATTGACAGACGACGGATATTCGAAAGAAAGAAATTTTGATAAACATTGAAAAATAGGCTCAGAGTGGCGATTCATTTCACAGACACATCATATTAGATGTGGGTGTATATATATATGTACCTATACCGTATATACCCAAGTGAAGTAAACATGGCGTCGTTTTGGGCGATTGCGCTACTCTCTCTATCTACTGACTCTGAACTGGAGTTCCGAAACATGAGATCTATTATGAACTAGATAATATTACTTGAAAGAATTTTTGCTCTCTGAAACGCTCGGAGTAAAGATATTCAAGGGATCAAATTGAAGTAAGGACAACGTAACGTAAGCTAATCCATTGATGCATATAGAACTCATTTCTGGTACATAGCACCTAACTCTTGGTTCGTTGCACTTAACCCATGGTATGTAGCAATTTACTTATGCCAAAAAATATGAAGTTAGTAGGAACTTAAAATAATTCCCTTGGTTCTTATAGGCAAAACCTATTTCTGGTGCATAGTACTGGATTCTCAGTGCATAGTACTTCACACTTGCCAATTAGGGATACCAGAACCTAGCCTCAGCTCTTGGCACATAGCACTGACCTTTAACTCACAGAACTTAACCCTTGGTACAAATCACTTCACATACCATAAAAGATACGAGAAAAGTAAAGCCATAGCGAAATAAGTCATCAACAGACTGAAAAAGTTCAAGAGGCTCTTGAAGGGTAAGAGCAAGCGAGGAAATAAAACAAAAATACGCCAAATCTTATTTCAAACAAGTAATAAGTCAATTATAAAGAAAAGAAAAAACGAAAAACAACTGAGAAACATTAGCTGTGGGTAAAGTAGGTAAGGCGAAACTGTAAAAGCTTTGCTAATAAAAATAATTTGGTCTAATGCGAAGCGGGTCTCATACATTGAGCGTTCCATATTAATTCATTTTTGTACTGTACATATTGAAGGAAAAGTACATAAAGTAGGTAATGCAATCCTCATAAGCTTAGTTCAATTTACAATTTATTCCAGGCGTTTATAGGAAAATTATGAGTAGGGTACCAAGTGTCGATAAAACCAAGCATTTCTTTCGACTTCTAAAACGTCGACATTCGTCCAGGAATGCAGTTGTGTTCTTGTCACGATAATAGTGACAACAGTAGTGACGGGACTGATTAACAAGCAGTGATGTCTACCAAATTCTCGTTGCCTCCGATTAATTTCAAAGACCAAGTCATAGTCACAAAGAAACTTTTCATAAAACAGTATTGCCGATTTTCAGTTTTCTACGTATTCGTCTGCAACGCTTACGAGCTTGCGAACAACCTCTGACAGAGCAAACAACAAATTCGTAGATTTTTTAATTGTCCATACCATAATAAAGTGCTGTCAATTGCTTGCAATTTATTCTATACAAGACACTTAAAAGTGGAAGTGGCTGATTTTAGATACCTAGGAAGTCAGATAAGTCAGGATGGAAGGAGTAGTATGGGATATAAAGCAGAGGATAGCGCAGGGTCGTGTCGAAGAAGTCACTTCTATGCTCCCGAGCGGTTAATTTAGAAATTCGAAAAAGGTTGTTAAAGGTGTATGTTTGGAGCACGGCATTGTACGGGTGCGAAACATGGACAGTGGGCGCGGCGGAAAAGAAAAGGTTAGAAACGTTCGAAATGTGGTGTTATAGGCGGATGATGAGGAAATCGTGGGTAGAAAAGGTTAGAAATGAAGAGGTATTGGAAAGAATAGGAGAACAGAGGACTCTATGGAATTCAATAAAAAATAGGCGGGATAGGTTGGTAGGACACCTTCTTAGGCATGAAGGTCTAGTCAGAGACATATTAAAGGTAGAAACAGGAGTTAAGAGGAGTAGATGTAGACCTAGATTAGATTACTGTTCGCAAATAGTTAAGGATGTGGGTTGTTCTAGTTTTAGGGAAATGCGAAGTTTAGCTCAGGATAGGAAAGAGTGGAGGTACGTGTCCAACCAGTCTTAGGACTGACGACCTTATGATTATGATGAAGACACTTTAAACTTGTAATTTTCATTTTTTTCTCTTGATTATACCTAATAATCTAACTTGGTCCCAACTTTCAAGTTTCCAAGTCATCTAAAATTTTGATGAATGAGTGAGTGATAAAGATAACAGTTTTCAGATCTGAATAATTCCAGAGCTATCACAGTTTTATTCATGAGATTTGGGATTGCAGATGTTATACAGCGCCATACTGATCATGCAAAATTGCAAACTGTGTAACAGTTTTCAAGTTATTAAGGTATTGAAAGTAGTTGGAAATGGTTCATATAAATAAACACACATTTATCTTTTCGTGCGTGTGTCTAGATTAATAACATACGATAAGAAATATAATAAAAGAGGAAGACTAGAAAAAGGATTTGCATAAAGAGAAACTCCGAATGGTGGAAATACAATTTCTTACAAGTATACAACCATAACTGTGAACTGAATACTTCATATACCATGCCATCATGATGTAATGAAATACGTATAAGATTTCACTTTTCTTGTGCTAACAGTAACGCGATGGAAGCTGTTTAGTATTCCTTAATGAGTTGGCATATGAAATTGAAAGTGCGAGCGTAAAACCGACAGTTATGTATGCGAACATTTGCGGTATTCACTCATAATGGAACGGGAAATTATAGATTCTATTTGAAAAGCAATTAATCCGTGGTACACTTAAGTAATATATTGATTCACTGTATACATGCGTAGAGAAATTCCAACTGTAGGAGTCATATCATATGAGCTCATTTGTTTTATCTAGAATAAAAGCAATATCCACCAGAAGCTTGAGAAGGTACTTTTTTTAATTATTTAACCATTCGCAATAATCATCTTGGAGAAAGGAGAAAGATGAAGAATACAATACAAGCTCTTTATTCGCGAGGTATACGCGTATACGTTCCATAAATATGCCGCGAATACAGAAACCGTGGATATGGAATGGTAATTAGTATAGAATCATAGGGGATACGTTCTAAGGTTCCGAAATAAAACCAATATGTATCCAAATAAAATCAATGTAATGATAATTTCGCAATTCAAATTCAATTTAATCGTTATAAACACCTTGAGGCAAGAGTTTAAAAAATTTAATGATTTTTTCTTGTTTTGAATTTTGAAATTAGTCCACTCGGTTA